GACCAGATGATTCCCAATTTTCTTGGAAATCTAGGGGGTTTTGCTATATCAAACCGGCAACCCGCAGAACAGGACCCGGGCAGGAGAATTTTTACACTCTTTTTTCGTACTTTTTTCCAGACGCACCAAAAGGGGAAAGCGAGGGAGGGTGGAGAAAAAATCTCCCCACAATTGCTTTTTACGCAGGGGATAAAAGGGCGAGCGATGCACGCTTCTTTTTAAAAAATCAAGGGTCGCTCTGTGGTTCTATTGTCCCGGGGTACCTCCCCAGCAGGCTTTTTTAAAACGTATGCACAGAAAGCAGGAGACCCAAGGCACGCATTTCTGAAATGCCTCCCCGAAGTAGGGGGTATAGAATGAGAAGCTGCGGTAAAAAGGGAGGACGAGAAGGGGTGTAAAAGCTCACATGGAGGACAAAAAGGGCCCTTTTTTAAAAACAGCAGGGTTGAGAAAGGTTCCAATTTGCCCGTTTAAATTCCACGGGGGTGCGAAGAGTGGGGAAATAAAGGGGGAAGTAAGATGTTTGGGAAATGATCACTGCATGTAAGTCCGGGAAACAGACCAAGAAAAAGTTAATGCGGCGGAGGAAGAGAAAACTGAGAATCTATGCAAGAGAGATGGTCCAGGATAAAAATGGGTGTGAGTACCTGTATTTAAAACAGGAGGGGGTGGGGGGAAAGAAAACCTCTAAGTTTTCCAGGGGAATCACGGGAGACCCCCCAAGAAATGGTGGGCATTAAAATCACCAAGTAACAGAATCGTGGGGGAAGACGAAAAAAGGAAGAAAAATCCGGAATAGATAATCCCGAAAGGGAGAGATTAAAAGAACAAGCGTATACCCCCTATGTAAGTGGATGGTGCTTGTAAAGCAGCAAGATGAATAAATAGCTGTGTACGGAATACAGTGCGGAGAAGAAGGGGGCCTTTCATTAAAAGGGCCCATCAGGGAAAAAGGGTCTGAAGAATCAATAAATTTTAGCCTGATGTAGAAAAAAACAGCAAGTGTAATTTGGGTTTCCCGTAAGCAAACACCAACAGGGGGAAACTGGGAGAAACATCTGAAGCTCACCCCATTACCCCCGAGCCGCGTTATTCCATGAAAAAGGGCCCTGATTGGGAATGATAAAGATACTTGAAACCGCAGGTAAGGGGTTTCCCACGGATGAAGGGTTAGAAAAGTCCACAGGGAGGCAGGGAAAATGTTCAAGCAGCGAAGGGAAAGGTGCGCTGGAAGAAAAAGTTGCGCAAAGGAGCAGAGGAGAAGAAAGAGCGGAAGGTGGATCAGTGTCCATTTATGGGTTTGGGCTCTGCAATATTCAGAGATTGCTTCAAATGTTTGGAATTCAAAGATCGTATGGGAGACAATATTGGAATGGTAGGGGGAGGAGATAAAGATTGGAACTGTATTTTTTACTGTACCAGGTAGGGGGGGGAAAAAGGGTGGGGGGAACTGGAGAACTGGGAGGGGGCGAAAGACAGGAAACCGGGGGGGGCACAAGAGGGAAAAAACTTTGGGGGAAAGGGGGGGAAGGTACTTTCGAGGAGGAGGTGAACCTCTGCACTTGAACACCAGTGGAGGGGAAAAATAGGGACGAGACAGGGAGGGGAAAATGAGGGGTGGAAAATGGGGAGGAGGGGTTTTCCGGGCCTTTTTTTTGACTTTTTAAAGTAAAAGGGGCGATTGGGAAGAGGTGTCACAGGTCTCGCGAACTGAGGCTTGTAAGAGAGAACCCGAAAAGCGAGATTTAAAGAGGCTTGAAGTAGGGACGTCGAGCCGAGGCGCAAAGGATTTTACAGGAGTGTTAGGGGGAGGTAACCACGGGTGGGTGTAGAAGATGGGATACCCGAAGTGGGGGGGCTTTTGAAACACGGAATAAAAACGGGGATCCCCTTTGGGGGCGGAGGAAAAAGCCAGGCTAAGGGGGAAACCCTTTTGTCTCTTTGAGGGAAGGATTTCCCCCCTCGTTTTTAAAAGACCTGACAACCGAGAGTACGAAGGGGGCCATGACAGTTAAGGCAAGAGGGGGATCGATTGCAGCTATTAGTGGTCATCGGCACCACAACGGGCATTCGGGGAAGATCTGCAATATTTTGCTGGGTGGCCAAACGCCCGCAATTTCTACCTGTTGGTGTAGGGTCACCTTTTGAACTTGTAACCCATTCCCGCATAAAACGGAGGATGGGGGGGTTTTCGGGTGTCAAAAAGTTAAAGGCCACATTGCTAGGGTAGTCTCCGCCCACGGGCAGGAAGAACGTAAGTGCTACCTTGAGGATTTGGGGGATTTGGAGTTCCCGCTTTCTGAAAGTCGGTGCCCCATGTCTGGGAAATTTTGTTGAACTTGGTAGGGGAAAATAAAGGTTTACCACACAAAAATTGAGGGAAATGTTTTTCAAGGGGGGACAGGAACTATCATATGGGAAGACGAGAGACTCACGGCCGGGTGCATTCTGACGGAATGAGCGCGTACCGCTCTTTAAAACAGAAAAAAAAAAATCTTTTCCAAAATGGCGTAGGGGTGCCCTTTCCAATCTAGGTCAAAAAATAGGCATAGGGGAAATTGGCGTAAATGAAGAATTTAGTCCACTGTTCATCTGAAACTGAGGTGGAAAGGTAGTGAAGGATGTCGTCGTTTCTGAAAGAACGAGAAGGTGAAAGGTTTGGGGAAGTATCATCAGCAGGAATTTTTCGTTGCGTTTAGGCGGGGACCAAGTTGGTCCGACGTGGAAGGGTCGGCGATTTGAAAAATTTCCGCACCGTAGAGGGAGAGGGGAAGCTATCGAGAGACGAAGGGTTTATAAAACGAAGGGTCAGTCGAGGCCCAGTACCTAACGGGGAGGAAAACAGCACCGGCAATAGGACAGGGCATGAGGAAAGTCGAAAGTGGCCAAAAACAGGCGGGGGAAAAACGGGGGGCGGGATCAAGAAGGGGCCCGGGGGGACCCGGTTCATGGACTAGGGCCGCCCATGGTTGGTACTTCTTTCTTTTTGTTTTTAAGAAAAAAAAAAAGAAAAAAAGAAAAAAAATAAAAAAAAGAAAAAAAAAGGGGGACCGGGGGGGTAGTTCCTAGGAGGAATGAAAGGGCCCCAAAAAATTCCCCCCGCGCCCAAGAGATCGACACCGCTATAGCGCGATGCGCATGGAACCCGTGCCATCCCACCCCTTTATCCCCGAAACCAGCAATCTGGGATAGCAACCTCACATCTGCCCAGCTACCCCGGGGGCAAAAGAAGGGCGGCCGGGTATCCCCACAAAGCAACCTCCTTCAGCCACCACCCCCGGAAACCGAAAGGGGGCTTCCCCAGATACCCCTCGCCCAAAGACACCCCAAAACTACTCCGGGGAACCGGGGAGGATCGGGACTCCCCAGGCAATCCAGATTCCACGGCAAACACGCCCCCGCCAAGAAACCTAAAAGGAATGGGATCGACCCCCGGGGTCCTTTCCTCTACCCTAGGAACTAGGTGCCTGTGGGGGAAAACCCAAAGGACAAAAGAGGGAAAGGGCAAAAGGGAGGGGTGGGGAGGAGGAGGAAAAAGGAAAAAAGGGGAGGTGGGGGGGATGGGATAGGGGGGGGGAGATTGGGGGGTAATTAGGTTCGGGGGAGAAGAAACCGATGGTCTAATTCCCCCAGACCAAGAGCCTCTTTACCCGCCAAGAGCCCCCCTTGAAGAGGCCGAGATTAGCCGAGTGCAAAAGATGAATTTAAAAAAAGCTGTTTAAAAGTTGCACTGGTCGTGTGGGGATGGGATGCATCGTGATTTCGTTTTTCCAGCATATAAGGCCCTTTTTTTTACCCAAAAGCCCGGAAAATCCGTGTGGTCTTATCTCAAGGGCGGGGCAAAATAACTTGGGGGTTTCCTTTAGTATTGTTTATCAACGTTAGTTTCATCTGCTTTGGGAAAAACGTCTTTAATGTCGAAAAAAACGGTAACAAAAAAAAAACAAAAGAGTACACATAGAAAAATTTTTCCCTACTTAAAAGAAAAATACACAAAAGGGGAAAAAAATCACAGTAAAAAGGGTTTTACACAATATGCAAAAAACCAATGTGAAAAAATATAACACCAAGAGATTTTGATAATGTGAGAAATCACGAAGAGTTTAGATTTTCACTTTTTTTCACAGCTGTTGTTTAGAAAATAAATAAAAAGAACAATTTTTTTTGAAAGAGTAAAATACACTTACAGAAATCTCATACAAGATACAGAGGGGATACACTGGGAAAAAAAGTTCACTTAGAGAAATGAACGTGGGTTTCTTAACCGGAAAATTTTGGCGATAAATATGCTTAGGATTACTTTGATTTACCTTAATCGCCCAAAAGGTAAACCTGAAATTTAAAATTACTAAGATTTTTTTTTTTAGGATCCGAAAAGAATTCTCTGTCCATAAGCAGGGAACGGGGGGGGACTTGAACCATGGCGAGGCTAAAAACTCATAAGCCAGTGCATTAACAAAAAACCCGCCTGTGCGTTTTTTGGCTTACTTGTAAGGTTCAAACCCCCCGTTCCTGGTTTTTTTTCAAAGGTTTTTTCGATTTTGTGAGTTCTTGTCCCTACCTCCTGTGGTTTGTGTATCAAGAGGGTATTTCGGATGATTTAAAAACCCTCACAAATTTTCATCATTCCTTAGGATAAAATTTACAAAAAAACCATTAATATTCCTACCATTAGACTAAACTGACGCTCAAGTAAAATTGTAAGAAAAAGGACAAGGGTTTCCGACGTGGGCTTCAGTCATATGAGACCCACAGGGGGAGCTGGGTCATCTACCGGGCCCCCGCTGGCTTACCGGTCCACCCTTTAAAAAATTAAGGGTTTTTAAAATAACCACATTTATAGGTGCTGCACAACAAATCAGACCAGGCATTGCCCAAGGCGGGGGCCAACCCTGTACACAGCGTTTAGACTGCAGCCCCAGTACTAAATAGGGAAAGTTAACACCCAATTTACTCAGGTTTCCCCATAATGATCATGTTGTGAACACCTCGAACACATCCTAAGTTTTTTTTGTCGTCCGTGTGAAGTGGCAGTAACATTCCCTGGCCGGCCAGTCATCCTGAGGGTGGATCCCCGGGCCACGACGGCCCTCTCTCTTCACCACTTGCTTTGAGATGTCCTGGTGATGGCGGAGAAGAGAGATATATTATTATTATTATTATTACTATATTATTCGGGAAAAATACTCTTGAAAGGACTATTATAGCATGACCCATACGAAGGTGTAAATCGCAGAGTAAATACTGTGGCCGAATCAGCTAGTTTACGGTGCCATACAGTATGTTGAGTTAAAGTGATGTGTGCCTTGTTGGAGCAAGTGAAGGGTACAGTGTTTGAGCAGGTGAAGAGTAGTAGTGTTGAAGCAGGTGAGATATAGCGTTGCAGCAGGTGAAGGGTACAATGTTGGAGGAGGTGAAGGGTACAATGTCACGGTGGTAAGAAGTACAGTGACGCTGGAGGTGTGGAGGTATTCTAAAGAATGATTTATCAGATATTTTTAACATTTACAAAGCCCAGTAAGCAACTCAAACACGTCTAAGTCGAGGAGTTTACTGGGGAACTTTGATCAAAATCCTTCATCTTTGTATGTCAGAATTGACTAAAATATATAATTATCTACTCTATACTGAAAGGCCAATTACAGTGCTATTGCGATCTTTTCCCATTAAGTTTAAGAACTTAAGGGAGAGTTAAATAACAAAAAGGTACAATACCGTGACTGGACCAATACACAAATAGCCCGACTTGGACCATTTACAAAGTCACATTGTCACTTTGTAAATGGTCCAAACCGGATCGAAACGTCGTCATAAGCTCCTGCTATGTGAGGGTTATTTTTGTACGTGTAAGAGTTACTTACAATGAACTTGTCTCTGATGAAGCAGCGAGCCCTGAGATATTCTTCGTTCTCCTGGCTGTCTCGGTCTGTGTGAGAGATACACACTGTCAGTTTTACAGTACAGTGGACCCCCGGTTAACGATATTTTTTTCACTCCAGAAGTATGTTCAGGTGCCAGTAATGACCGAATTTGTTCCCATAAGGTATATTGTGAAGTAGATTAGTCCATTTCAGACCCCCAAACATACACGTGCAAACGCACTTACATAAATACACTTACATAATTGGTCGCATTCGGAGGTGATCGTTATGCGGGGGTCCACTGTATTATGATTGTAGGTATATATATCAAGGAACGAGTGAGGTTTGAACCCATGGCAGAGTCCTAAAACTGGCAAGCCAGTGCGTTAACCAGTCGACCAACGCGTCAATTGTTCATCGAGTGAGATGGGTTGGATTTAAGTGGGAGTAGCACATGACTTTACAGGGTTATCAAAGCTTATTCCTTGGGTAGCATTGAAAATGGGTTGGGTAGATATTGCTGTCAGTGGGTTTGGGCTTGAGATGGACCTGCCTAGTATGGGCCAATAGGCCTGCTGCAGTATTTCTTTTTTCCTATGTTCTTGAAGGCAGAAAAGAAAGTTAACGGTGTACATACTATCCTGTTAATGACCGTCTGTTTTATTATTTACTACGGAGTTACTACAGCAAAACGCAGTCATAATTCAGTGAAAATTTTCTTGTAGCAAAGCAGTACTGTGGCTGGAAAAGAATGCTTTGAGAAGAGGATCACGTTTACTGCTGACAGTTGTAATACAGTGCTGAGAGAACTCCAGCCGATGAAGGGAAGAACGTGTTTGCAAGCTTAAAGTTGGTGCAGAATGAGGACTTCAATGAGGCTTGGCTGCCCAGCACAGATATTGAAAAGCAGTCTCTGTCGAGGCACGTGTACGATGGAAACTGACATTGAGAACATTACTATTAGGAATTACCAGTACTGTACTTGCATATCTACATTGAAATAAGCAGCTCAGAGAGTACTGGGATGTATTGCTAATAAATATGGATAGCTGCTTTCAAACAGTACGATACGACTGTTCTTCGTTTACAGACATTACAAGGTCTCTCTGACTTGGTATTGTTCAATTTATAACAGGACAAATCACTCACTGTGACTGAGACTTTTCCGGCAAGTGTTTTTCAAATGCTGGAACTTATTTCTAATATCATCTATTTTTTATCTTTTACACAAATCAATTTAACAGGATAAGAGCTGTTATCCTGCCTCAAATCATTTCAAAGCCCAGCCCTATCTAGGGTATACTATCACCCCCCAGGATGCCACCCACAACAGTCGACTAATACCCAGATACCTACTAACTACTAAGTGAATAGGGGCAGCAGGTGTAAGGAAACATGCTCAACGTTTCCACCCGTACCGGGAATCGAATCCCGGACACAGTGTGTGAGCTGAATATGCTACCAACCAAGGGATACCTTTCTGAGTGTATGTCCCACAGATTCAGGATCCTGGCAGTATAGAGAGTATTGGCACAAAAGCTCAAATTTAAGTGTAGCAAGACTCCACATAACTTACATCACTCAAAAGTGATGTTCTTTTAATTGATTTCACTTGCAACAACGGCATCACTAGTACTTACATCACTATAGGTTTAGTATCACTCACTTATTGACCAGTTACAGCATTACCACTTACAACACTCATTAATGTCAATACTACACTGATATCGCTCAGTACCATCACTCAACAGTGACATCACTCAACAGTGATATCACTCAACCGTGACATCGCATCACTCAACCGTGACATCACTCAACAGTGACATCACTCAACAGTGATATCATTCAACACTGACATCAATCAACAGTGACATCACTCAACACCGACATCACTCCTGACGATCACATACCTTTGCTTAACAACTTATAGTTGTTGTACTCTGGGAAGTACTCCGCGATGCGAGTGCGGCCGTGGGTCACCTTCTCCTTCAGAATGTCTTGCTTGTTCAGGAAGACGATGAAGCCAGAGTACTTAAGGAACCTGTGTGATACAGTACAAAGTGATGTCTGCTGAAGTTCAATGAGGACAAATTTCAATTCCTCCGCTATGGAAAACTCGAGGAAATAAAAAGTGGATCGAAGCATAAAACAAACCCCAACCACATAACAGAGCGAAAAACTAATGTGAAGGACCTGGAAGTGATAATGTCAGAGAATCTCGCTTTCAAAGATCACAGCAATATCTCTATCACATATTCTAGGAAAATGATATAATGTATAATGAGAGCCTTCAAAACTAGGGATGCTAAGATAATTATTCTCTTCAAATCACTTTAGCGCTCCCCCATGATTATAATAATAATAATTCAAATCACTTGTTCTCTCTACACTGGAATACTGCTGTACACTAACGGCCCTTTCCAAAGGTGGAATTGTAGACCTGGAGAACATACAGAGAACTTTCACCGCACGTATAGGTACAATAAAGCACCTCAGTTGAAGTCCCTGGACCTGTACTCTCTGGAACGCAGGCGAGAAAGATACATCATAATATACACTTGGAAAATCTTTGAGAAATTAGTCCCAAATCTGCAAACAGAAATCACTTCATATGAAAGCAAAAGACTCGGCAGACGGTGTAACATCCTCCTACTGAAAAGCAGTGGCTCCATGAGTACATCAAGAGACAATACAATAAGTGTCAGGGGCTCAAGACTGTTTAGCTGCCTCCCAGCATACATAAGGGGGATTACCAATAGACCCTTGGCTGTTTTTAAGAGGGAGCTGGACAGGCATCTAAAGTCAGTACTTAACCAGCCAGGCTGTGGTTCATACATTGGATTGTGTGCGCTCAGCAGTAACAGCCTGCTTGATCAGGTCCTGATCCACCAGGAGGCCTGGTCATGGACCAGGCCGCGGGGGCATTGATCCTCAGAACACCCTCCAGGTATACTCCAGGTATATCGCAGTGTGGTTGATGGTTGATGTCATTACAGTCTTACTAGATGTACACAAATAACCCGCACATAAACCATAAACCGTCTGTCCCGTCTACCCCGCTCATCCCATTTGGATCTTACCTGAACTTGTTCGTTCGTTCGTTCTTCTGGTTAGTGTGACTTTGTAAATGGTCCAAGTCGGACCGAAACGTCGTCGTAAGCTTCTCTCTTTTATGTGCGGGTTGACTCACGAAATCGTAATGACACGATTGCAAACAAACCATACCCCGGCCGGGATTGAACCCGCGGTCAGAGAGTCTCTAAACTCCAGCCCGTCGCGTTAGCCACTGGACCAGCTAGCATTTGTGGTCACAGTGGTGCCTGTGCTAACCTTCCTATGGTGTAGAAATATACCTAGTTGGATGAATCTTATTGTGGCTAGCTGGTCTAGTGGCTAACGCGACGGGTTGGAGTTTTGAGACTCTCTGACCGCGGGTTCAATCCCGGCCGGGGTATGGTTTGTTTGCAATCGTGTCATTACGATTTCGTGAGTCAACCCGCACATAAAAGAGAGAAGCTTACGACGACGTTTCGGTCCGACTTGGACCATTTACAAAGTCACACTAACCAGAAGAACGAACGAACGAACAAGTTCAGGTAAGATCCAAATGGGATGAGTGGGGAAGACGGGACAGACGAAGAATAGCGAAGGAGAGGAGTGTTCCTAGTTGTAGAAATAGAGCCAGGGCTTAACCCAGCAGCTGAGACGATCGTGGGATAGAGCTGGAGAGAACAGGACTTGGCCGAGAATGTGGACGACGTGGGCAAGCTGTGCAGGCTGCATCATGGTGGTTGATCTGTAGATCTGGTCGGCGATTGGTTGCTGAAGATCGGCGGGAAGCGGGATGGAGAGGGAGGCATGCTTCAATATGATTGGTTAAGTATGCGGAGAGGAGAGAGGATCAGCGTTGATTGGTGGATAACACTCTTCATATCTGCGTTTTGTTAGTTTTTCCTTTGCATTTTGCAGTCTTTTGAAAGCAGGTTTTGATAATAAACTAAGTTTGAGCAGACTTTTGCTGTCCTTTTCTAAGTCTGCAATTAGGGCAGTTTCAGTGTGGGGATCGCATCCAGGAGCAACAGTGTACTTGATACTACCATGGTGCATGGAATAGATGACCTGAGGTGCATATAGCGACGGGGTGTGAGGGTTATATGTATAGAAGGTGAGGGGTTCAGTTGGTCTAAATATCGTTTCCTCTTCCATTTCTTCAGGTCTTCGAGTATCTTGAGGTGGATTTTCAGGAGGAAGTGTCTTAGCTTTCTTGGCTTTTGGTGGTTGAGTTGGAGATGAAGCAGGTAGTTCGTTAGTAGTAGCAGAAGAGGTGGAAGACTCAGGCGATTGGTCCACAGCGGTGGTGATGTTGGAAGTCGCTGATTGGTTGTTTCTTGGAGATGGAATTTCAGGTGTTGTGATGTTGCCTAATTCTTTGGTGAGCTTGATGATGTCGGCAGATGGTGGAGAGTCTGGGAAAGTAAAGCTTGGCATGTTGTTCAATCGGAAGAGCTCGTTAATAACAGTGTTGAAGGAGCCTGGTAACGCCATATTATGCATGTGTGCATATAACATACAGAAATGAATTTTCGTAGGTTCAGAAGCTGATGGAGTAGTGGTGGTGGGTTGGGTAGCTTTTAAAAGTTTTGTTGTGTCGGCCTGGAGTTTGGTGATGGCAGCATAAGTAGGTGACTTGGAAGGTGTCTTCTTCTGTTCTGCTTCTTGGCTTTTTCTCAGAATTTCACGACGAGTGGGGCACTTTGCAGCGAGAGTATACTGATTGTTTTTGCAGTTGAGACACTTAAGTGGGGCAGTAGAAGTACAAGTCTTGGAATCGTGGCCTTCAGACCCGAAGGTAGAGCAGAACTTTTTGTCTTTTGTGGGGCAGTCTTTTGTAGAGTGTAGGTAAGAGTAGCAACTCCAGCACGGAGTAATATGATGGTACCGCTCAGCTTCAATATGACTGGAGTTAATGAAGTAATAGTATATGGCCAGGCCTTCAGCCATAGCTTGAGCAGCCATTGTCACATCAGTAAAAGTGATTTTCAGCATGGAGGAGGCAGTAGGAATCTTGGTAATGCTTTCAACTGTAGCCCAGGGATTTTGCTCTTCTATGGAGGTCTTTAGGTCTTCAACAGGTTGTATGGTAATCATTTTGTCAAGTCTCTTCAAGAAGACAGTCCTCTTAGCTCGTAAGGCAGGAGAGGACATGACTTTGAAACCACGGTCTGATAGAGTGGACAAAGCGGAGGTGGTCAGTAGTTTTCAGCTTCAACATCGTCTTCACAGACAATAATGAAGGCTTCGTGGAGTGAGAGGATGGTATTAATCTTGACCTGTAGACCCCTGATTACCACAGCAAGGGCAAGCTTGGTGGAGTCATTGGTCGTACCACTGGATGGTTTTATCTTGACTCTGTTGGAGAAGCTCATCTTGGGACAGTGTAACAGTCAAGGTGACACACACCTCTGGGTTGTCTTTCTCTCTTCTGTCTCGTGTTTCTGTTCCTTCTTTATTTCACCACTTCCCCTTTCACGCACCTCTGTGCGCTTGCTCTCCCTCTGTGGGCACCTTGCTCTCTTGCAGTGCTCCCCTTCCTTTGTATTTGACTGGCTTGTCCTCCTTATTCCCCACTTCTACCACTACTACTACTACCTCTTTTACTACTACTACTACTGATGAAATTAAGACACATGTGCGGCGTCTGGGTGTCTTTGTTGTGGACGTTTCGCCATCCAGTGGCTGGCTGGATGGTGAAACGTCTACGATAGGGATGCCCGGGTGTTGCGGTATTATATACCATTCTTGTACTACTACTACTACTACTACTACTACCACCACCTCTTCCTGCCTATATATAGCCGTCCTGCTCCTCTTCTGGTTAGTGTGATTTTGTAAATGGCCCAAGTCGGACCGAAACGTCGTCGTAAGCTTCTCTCTTTTATGTGCGGGTTATTTGTGTATCGTTCCAGTCACGGTATTGTGCCTTTTTTTTATTTACTAGATGTCACTAATTTATCGGATGTCACTAGAGAGTTATGAACCAATCACATACTATATATGTCGTGCCAAATAGGTAAAACTACTAAGGCTGATGCATGCAGGGGATGAGATGAAAAGCTGTAAGCCTTCAAAGATGGCTGGCTTGGATCAACGTCTAGCACAAGCTGGACGCCAAAGTATTGGTCGAGTGTGCTGAGAATGGTATAGCACTGCGTACCTTGTTCCAAGGTTCGTAGGTTCGAGTCTCCTCTATATCTATATATATATCTATATATATATCTATAAACTGTAGTGTAAAGCACCCTTCTGGCAAGACAGTGATGGAGTGAATGATGGTGAAAGTTTTTCTTTTTCGGGCCACCCTGCCTTGGTGGGAATCGGCCGGTGTGATAATAAAAAAAAAAAAAAAAAAAATAATCTATATATATATATATATATATATATATATATATATATATATATATATATATATATATATATATATATATATATATAAAATATATATATATATATATATATATATAAACGTATTCAATGCATCGGCCATATCCCACCGAGGCAGGGTGACCTAAAATGAAAACGAAGGTTTTCTTTTTACATTTAGTAATTTACACAGGAGAAGGGGTTACTAACGTCTTGCTCCTGGCATTTTAGTCGCCTCTTCCGACACATATGGCTTATGGAGGAAGAATTCTTTTCCACTTCCCCATGGAGATAAAAGGAAAGAAAGAGAAACAAGAACTATTAAAAAGATAGGGGATAACCGAGATGGTTGTGTATACATGTACATGCATGTGTAATGTGACCTTAGTGTAAGTATAGGTAGCAAGATGTACCTGTTATCTTGCTTAATTGTCAGGACGGTAGTAGCTCCCTGGGTGGCTGCTGTCTTACCAGACTAAGGGACTAATTACCTCACACTCTTCATCTTTCAGCATTTCTCTGCACTGGACTGAAGAAGTCACCGGGTGGCGAAACGTTTCCAGAATAAAGATGCTAAATATTCCCAAGTGTTGCACAAGCATCTTATTTATCAGTTTACAATTATTAAACGATTTACACTACATTGTTCTCGATAGTTCGGGAGCAAAGGTAAAATCGGTCTCAATTCTCAACACTCAAAAAGAGTGTTAAGAAACCATCTAGAGTACAAGGAATCCATCTGAAATATCTGAAGTACGTGTCGAGTGCAGGGGAGAGATCAGGGGAACATGGAACTTACCAGGAGAGTCAAAAAATCACTCGTAGAAACAAGAACACCTGAGTGCTGGGAACCCACCTAGAGTGTCAGGAGCCCACCTGGAGGATCACGAACTCACCTAGTGCGTCAGGAACCCACCTGGAGTGTCAGAACCTACCAAGAGTGTTAGGAACCCCCTGGAGTGCCTGGAATCCACCTGGAATGTCAGGAATCAGCTCGGAGTACCTGGAGTGCTGGTAAAACCTACTCTTTCCCCTTGGTGAACCGGGAACCCACTTAGAGTGTATGAAAGCCACCTAGTGTACCAGTAACCCACCTAGAGTACATGAAAGCCACCTGGTGTACCAGTAACCCACCTAGAGTACATTAAAGCCACCTAGAGTACATGAAACCAACCTGGTGTACCAGTAACCCACCTAGAGTACATGAAATCAACCTGGTGTACTCACCTAGAGTTCCACATGCTCCTGAAGATGTTGATAGACTCCTGAAGGCGGTTGGTCTCCTCGTCCTCCCTGATGACGAGGTCGAAGCAGCTGGTTGACACTAAGAACAACACTGCCTGGATCCCGTCAAACACCTGCCGACACACCTGTTGCTTTAGGACTCTTGTTAGTGTTGCAAAACAAACATATTTGACACGTGGTGTTGATATTCCAACACCTGTATCAACACATGCACCAACACCTGCGATAAATCTTGAGCCAATACTTTCACTAACAACTGGGCTTGACACTCAGGGTGTTGATCTAACACCTTCATCCTTCGCAAACACTATCTTTCACCAACACCACCATCCTTCACCATGACCATCCATCACCTTCACCAACTCCATCCTTCACCAATACCATCCTTCAGCACCATCCTTCACCAACACCACCATCCTTCACCAACTCCATTCTTCACCAATACCATCCTTCAGCACCATCCTTCACCAATACCATCCTTCAGCACCATCCTTCGCCATCACCATCCTTCAACATGACCATCCATCACCTTCACCACCATCCTTCACCAACACCACCATACTTCGCCAACTTCACCATCCTTCACCAACTCCACCATCCTTCAACAACACCATCCTTCACCAACTCCACCATCCTTCAACAACACCATCCTTCACCAACACCACCATCCTTCAACATGACCATCCATCACCATCACTGACATACACTGGTCACTGACATACACTGATCACTGACATACACTGGTGACTAACATTGGTCACTGACATACACTGGACATTAACATTTTCACTGGCATACACTGGTGACTAACATTGGTCACTGACATACATTGGTCACTGACATACACTGGACACTGACATACACTGGACACTGACATACACTGGACACTGACATACAGTGACGAGAAAGTAAGCTCACATTTGGTATTTACAGAGGTACAGTAGGCTGGGATACAAGGGATTGTTTAGGTACAGGAGACTTATAATATGTACATCAATCACTGGGATCACGCAGTGATTGATGTACGTATTATAAGCCACTGCTACGGCACTGTGCTGTACTTTCTACAAGATTGATGGACGGAACACATCGACTCCAGGCTGAGGGACTGATTACCTCAAACTCCTCTTCTCCTTATACCTTCCTGCTTTGTATTAGACAGACGAAGCCACAGTGTGGAGAAACGTTTCTTCATTAAAGATTCCCATATGTTGCATAAGTGTCTTCATTCTTCAACTTGTCAGTTTTCAAAACCATTTATCACATATACTTCTCCACTTCATCTTTCACCAAGGTCACTGACTCACCTCTGTGAGTCAGTGACCTTGGTTGAAGTCACACTCCATCAAGGAGTGTGACTCACCTCTGTATTCCACTGACGAAGTGGAAAAGACACTTATGTAGAGCTCAGGACATTTGTTAGAGAAAACGTTTCGTCCCGGAAGCTGCTTCAGTCCTGATGGACCGAAGCAGCCACTCGTGGGGAGACGTTTCCTCTGTCGGTATCACCGTACCATTTTTTTGACGGATAAAGTCTGGAACACAGGGGAAAGTTTTTAGTCAGTACAGATTGCTAGTGTTACACAAGTGTGTTGCTTATCATGTCGATACTAGCGCTTGTGACGTCAGTGTGACGTAAGCTGTAACGTCACGGCTCAGATTAGTGGCACTGATAAACAAGAATTTGTCAGTGATAGGTTGATTCATGTTCTCTCCTCTCTCTCTCTCTCTCTCTCTCTCTCTCTCACACACATTCTCTCTCACCTGTATCCATTTCTTTCGTTCTCCTCTCTGGCCTCCCACGTCATACATCCAGAAGTTGAGCGATCCACCTCCATATTTCTTGGGCACCTTAACCTCAAACTCTATCTTCTGGATGTCTGTGGTGCGTCTGCGGCTGTGAAGTATGTCCTGTGGGAAATGGTGAGGTCAAGTGATGTCTACACAGGCTATACAAGCGAGGTCAGGTGAGGTCAAATGTCGTCGATACAAGTTTCAAGTGATGTCAATACAGAGACACCCAGGCAGGTTATGTGAGAGACATCATTTACAATACCGTGACTGGAACACATTACAGATGTCCCGTGGCCTGGTAGCTAAAGCTCTTGCTTCACACGGCGAGCGTCCGGGCTCGATTCCCGGCTAGGGTAGAAACATTAGGCGTGTTTCTTTACACCGGTTGTCTATGTTCACCCATCAGTAATAATGGGTACCTGGGTGTTAGTCGACTGGTGTGGGTCACATCCTGGGACAAAATTGACTTAATTTGCCCGAAATTCTCAGCATAACAAGCGGCTTTCTATATAGTAGTATGTCATTGATGTCAACTATGGTCTGTATACCTTGTACATGTACTTGTCGATATAAAATACTATTATTATTAAACCCACAATACCGTGGCAAATTACTGGAGTCAATTATAGCTTACATTATAAGTAGTCATCTTGATAAGCATAATTAGATCTATGATACACAGCAACAAGTGTCTGTGTAGACTTGGTGTCAACACTTGCTTGTACATAAATTTACTTGGCTCTGATTTTGGAGCAGTCACTGTGGAGAGGATTGTAACTTTGTTGATGGATCTGTGGAGAGGATTGTAACTGCTGAGGGATCTGTCGTGTGTATACTTCGACTCGAGTTGCTTGTTGTTATGTATGACATAATGGACTCCTTCCGCACTGTCTGGTGTGGAATTAGGAAGAGGTTAGTTTCTGCATGCTAAGTAATGAATGAGCTTATAATTTGCTCACTTTTGTCGACTCAGAGTATTCCAGTGTTAAAATGACTTTGTGATCCACAGTGTTGATGTCTACACACTAGTCTTCGACCAGAAGGTGTCTGCACACTTGCTGTGTCTTGACTTGGGGTCTTGTGCACGCCAGCTGCACACTTTGACACGTTAATGCGGGTCTTAAGAGCTTGTTTACTGTATTATTTATCTGACTTTGTAGGAAAATGTATATACGTGAAAAAGAACCACTTCGATAAAGGCAAGGAACTTTATAGCTCATTCATGAATTTAGAAAGGGCTCATGATAGGGTTGCTTTTGGAGCAATATGGCAGAAGTTGTGAGTGTGTCGACTAGGTGGTTTGTTATTTAAAGCAGTCAAGAGTTTTCGTGCTGACAGTGAGGCTCAGGTTAGGGTATATAGAAATGTATACGAGAGAATTATTTTTTGTAAAAATAGGCCTTAGACAGGGATGGTGCTATCACAAAGGTTGTTTAACATATAGATGGAGATGTAAAATATGCAAATGCTAGGGTGTTGGGGAGAAGTGTGTGAGAGAGGGAAGTTGGGGAAGACACGATTCATTCCAGAGATTCTGAAGAAGTTGCAAAAGTTGGTGGTTGAATTTAGAAGAGTATGTAAAATGTAGAAATTACAAGAGTACGTAGGAAAGAGGAAAATGATGAGGGTAACAAAAAATCTAGGCATTAAAATATTGGATATTAGCCTGGAGGAAGGGAGTATGGGGAGGGGGGGGGGTAAGTAAATGTATTCAGATTCACGAAATCGTAATAACACATGATTTACATTCAGATATTTGGGAGTGGACTTGTCCATGAGACGATGTGAACAACAGAATAGAAGAGGGGAAAAAATGATGAGCGATGAACTGAAGGATCTAGGGAGACAGAGAGATTCATCTATGGAAGCAAAAGTGAAATGTATCAGAGTATAGTAGTAGCAACACTGTTATAGTAGTAGCAACACTGCTATAGTAGTAGCAACACTGTTATAGTACTAGCAACACTGCTATAGTAGTAGCAACACTGTTATAGTAGTAGCAACACTGCTATAGTAGTAGTAGCAACACTGTTATATGGGTGCAAAGAATGGGTTTTAAGTTTCAGTGAGGAGGAGGCTGGACAGTAGAGTTGTCGTGTTTGTAAGGTACGAGTCTCACTATAACATTAATGACATACAATACTGACATTATGATGAGTAAGACACATGCAACATCTGGGGAGTCTTTACTATATTACCTTCATCATTCAGTAGCATTATTCAATCTTAGACAGCTGAAAATTGATCATGGCAATGAACACGTTTTCTCAAATCTGAGAGATTGATTACCTTATCTTCAACTGTTTTCTGTATATAATCTCTATACTGCACTGATAAAGATACAGAATGGTGTAACGTCATCATGATAAAGATAATCTGGTCTGAAGATTATGGAGAGAATTTGGAGCATTGAGATTGCCAAAGGTATACTGATTTAGAGGACTGAGAAGTTGTTGAGGTGGTTTAGGTATTTAAAGAGAATAGAGCAGAAGAGGATGACAACGAGGGTGCACTAATTCAAGGGTGGAAGGATGGGGGGGGGGAAGGAAGGAGTCATCTCAGGAAGAGTGGAAGGACGGAGGGAGTAAAGGAGGTTTTGAATGCAAACACTTGAGCATTCAGCAGACCTGTGTGAGAGTGCGAGGCAAATGGATTTTACGGCTTCATGTGCTCTTGGAGTGTGAGCATGGTAACACTAATTAAGGCATTCAGAGAAGCCATTGGGAAGGTGGAAAGAACAGTGCTCACACACTGAAGGAAATGCGGTGATGTTGCAGTTTGAATGATCATATCTGTACACTTTTGGCAAGACAGCTATTGAATGAATGACGGTGAATGTGTTTCCCTTTTTAATACGGTTTACTTTACCTCGACAGGTGTTGAATGATAGCTCTAGGCCTTTCGTGTTACAATCAACACATCATCAGGAGCTTGAAAAGTTGCAGAATAGAGGATGAGGTCAAAGTAAACACGATCAGAGGAAGCGTGTTGCTTGAACGAGACAGAGAGACTGGAGGCAGGAAGTGTCCCCAGGCACATTAATACCCATACCAGGCATACCAATGCTCAGGCACATTAATACCCATACCAGGCATACCAATACTCACAGCCAGAAAGACTGAATATTATAGTATTAGAAGACATCCAGCCCACAAGCCCTGATACTGTAATAGTAACCTAATTAACATTACATGGGTCCATTTCAAGAGAATCATTTAAAGGGAGACATTTGTAATTTAACCAAAGGAAGACAGCCATAGTTTATCTATCTCGCAAGATTCCAAAGACACTGGTCTAGCTATCAAGAAAACAAGCAGGAAAAAAATGGATTTAGTTCTTGAGAGTAGAACAACATGTTAGACAATCCAGTGCAGCCGTATAAGAGTTTGATATTTGACTACCACCATTATTGTACAATGAACGCTTATCATGTTTTATAATTACCAATTCTATAATATTCTGTTCAAGCCAAGAGGAACAATGACTCTTTCTTCTGACCAGTTTGCCGAGTTATTGAAGACTGTGGCTAAAAATCGCATCTGATTCATGGACAGTTCCTGTGGAACAGTGGTGCTGTGATATCCTAACATCTAGAGGTTTGTCAGTCTGTCCCTATAAGTTGCAACCTTTGCAATAAATTCTGTAGATACCAAACACACTGTTGAGGAGAATCTCTATCAGAATGCTTCTAAAAGTCCGTGAATTTTTAAAAGCTACCTGTATATTAAATCTTTAAGGGAATTCGACAGGAATGTTGTAGAATTGGCAATTATAAAACATGATAAGTAGAGGCATATAAAGACGAGACTACACCTCGCTGCCACCCCCAACAACACCTGACCTTTTATAATAATGTAGGTAGGTAGTCAGTGATCTGTGAAACACAGCTTATATTCTACCCAAAAATTTGTCTAATTTATATAAACCAAAAGCAATGTTCATATCATTTTCATAACTATTTTTTATGAAACATGATTCTATTATATACCTGTCGACCATGGATTTACTTGATATAACTTTCTCAGCCTTTGGAAAATCAATTGGATGGTTAAAATTTCTCTCATGAATAAACAGAGCATTAGAATCTTGTCCAGTTCTAATGCTATATTTGTTGTTGTTTTAATCTTAGTTCGAGACTTTTACCAGTTTGACCGTAATAAACTTTATCACATATTTTACAAGGAATCTTATAGACACATCCGTCAGCATTTTGGGGGGAATTTTTTACCAAAAGTTTTTTAACTGTATCAAGATTTTTAAATACAACTTTGATACTAAAAGTCTTAAGAAGAGAAGGCATATCAACCAAGTTTTCATGGTAAGGGAGAACCAACATATTTTAGTTGAATAAGGTTGGTTGTCCCTTTTTGAATTGTAAAAAGTATTTCTAGCTAATTTAAAGGGTTTATCAAATAAGTTTTTTGGGTATTATAGATCATTAGCTATTTTATAAATTTTGGAGATTTCTTCATCTATGAACTCTGGACTACAAATACGTAAAGCTCTTAAAACAATGAATACCGACAGTTTAACTCTATTTTGATGTGAAAATAATGGGAACAGCAACGAGTTCTGCTAATTGACTAATTTGACCCATACGGCACGAAATAAATAAATAAATGATTATATATATATATATATATATTTAATATATATATATATATATATTATTATATATATATATATATATAATATATATATATATACAGTGGACCCCCGGTTAACGAACTTTTTTCATTCCAGTAGTATTCAGGTGCCAGTACTGACCGAATTTTTTCCCATAAGGAATATTGTGAAGTAGATTAGTCCATTTCAGCCCCCAAAATACACGTACAAACACACTTACACAAATACACTTTCATAATTGGTCGCATTTGGAGGTATCGTTTAAGCGGGGGTCCACTGTATGTATATGTATGTATGTTATGTATATGTATATATAATATATATATATATTATATATATATATATATATATATATATTTATATATATATATATTTTAATTTTAAAATTTATTTTTTTTAAATCTTTTAAATATAATTTATTTAAAGCCCAGGTAAAAAATTGGAAATTCAAAAATTTTTAAAATTAAACCTTCAAAAAACCTTTTTTTTTAAAATTAATATTTCTTTTTGGGAATTAAAAATTAAAAGTTTCCAAAAAAACCCTTAAAAACTTTAAACCAAGTAAAAACCCCCAAAAAGTAAAAATTATTTTTAATAAGTTTCCTTTTTAATAGGGAAAAAAGAAAATTTTATTTGGGGGTAAACAAAATTTATTTTGTGAAATTACTGGGGGGTTAATTTAAATTTTGGGGAAATTTATTCAAAAAATTTTTGGGTTTTAATTGGAAAGGTTGTATTTAAACCCATCCCAAAGTTATAAAGGGTTTCGGAAATTTTAAAAATTACAAAAAAAACCGGTTACAGGTTGTCCCTGCCTTTTGAAGCCCGGCCCTTTTTACAACCGCCAGGGTTAAACAAAAAAAGGAAAAAAAAAAAAAGAACTTCGGAGAAAAAAAACACTCTGAATGTATTTTCCCATTTTTCCCAATTTTCCCATTTTTTACGTGGTTTTAAAAGCCCAAGTGATTTATTTGATTTTTTATTAACAAAAAAACCAACCCCAAATTTTTATTTAAAAAAATTTTCAGGATTGGGGGAAAAAACCCCAAAAATTTGGCCAAAAAACATAAGGGAATTTTTTCGGGTTTAAAACAGCTCCTTTGTTTAAAGAAATTGTTGACAGTTTTAATTGGTGAGGAAATTACAATATTGGGGGAATTTGGTATAAATTAAGTTTTGGGGGAAATTTTTTTGGGGGTAAATTTTTAGGGGAAAAAAATTTAAAAGGTTAAATTTACAAAAGGAAAAAAACTACCTTTTCCTCC